AACCTGCTTTGTACAAAGAAACATAAATCGAACTGGGGTCCTTTGAAGAGATTCCATTGTTTTCAGACTCAAAATTAAAACAATTTTGAACTGAATCTGAACTCTTTTTAAAGCCTTGTGAGTAATTCAGCAATTCAGAAGGCTAGAGAAAGGTCAAGATAAAATCAAATACCCACATTCCCTTTTATTTTCCATATAGGAAAAGTGCTTTGATAGCACAAGAAAACTGAGTTACTGATAGGACAATCTTCTAATCAGAATGGATAAACAGAATGATGCTGAGTCATGTACAGTATTATGTTTTTCCCCTCTTTCTCTGTTCCTTGTTACCTTCTTCTTATCTGCACAAGAACTTTTGAAGAGTTTTAAAGAAGCCAATCAAAAAAAGGGTTATTGTGTGTGACACATGTCCTGCTGGTATCCCCGCTGAATTCTTTGTCCCTCAAAAATTGTGAAATATCCAGCATTTCTTACTAGGAAGAGTCCTTTGAAGAAGGCATATCAATGCCATTCTGATTCTGTAGTTCATGGTTATCATCCCATTCTTGATTGCTGTGAATGCTTTTTCTTTCCCTTTTGTAAAAATAATGAGGCCTGGAGGCACAATATTGTACAGGTTTTTTTTTTACTAAAATAAATTATCTGCAGTTAAACTTGTCATAACTTAATATTGTCTTTGTCTTTGTATGAATTACATTTACTAAATTGATGATTTTTTCTCTCATCCCCACCCCCAATTTAACTCTCAGGGTTATTTGCATTCTTGCTTTCACTTGCATCTAACTCAAGAGCCTTCATTTTAATGTAAAATATTGACTACAATTGACACTGAAAAGCAGGAGCTTAGTAATTTAAACAAGAATTTAAACAGCAAGGATGTTATAAACATGTTTAAAACAGCCAACTTCATTACATCCTTTATATTCAAATCAAAGTTTTTCACGAAGTTCCATCTTTTTCCATGATTGTTTGGTAGATTGAATTTCACTGACAGCCACAAGCACGGAAAATAAAATTTCATTTGTGCTCCCAACTCAGTTTGTAGTGCTTACCCCCAAAATGAGCAAATTAACATATACTTTTCTTTTTGTCATGTGGCATTTTTCCAAACAAGGGACATCTCAACATTATGAGCTATGTTTATCAGAGCAAAAAAACAAATAGGACAATTATACAAATATTTTTTTTCAAAACTGCTTAAAACATCTATGAAACAGGTAGTGACTGGGAGGGGAAATAGAAAACCCATTTTTTGCTATAATAAAACTATGACTACAGTAGCTGTAGTTTTATTATAGCTATTATAGCACCAATTGTTCATTTTCTCTTTTACCTACCTATAGCACCAAAACATTGTCAGTAATTAGTTCTCCTTCTCTTTCAGTGTTCATAGTCCACATCTGTTGGCCAGAAACCTCATTGAGATTCAAGAGCCTAAATCAATTGATCATTTTCTCTCTTTCTTAATTATGTCACTGTCAGAGAGAAAGAGAGAGAGAGAGAGAGAGAGAGAGAGAGAGAGAGAGAGAGAGAGAGAGAGAGAGAGAGAGAGAGAGAGAGAGAGAGGCACAGTCTGTTCTCCTATTACATCTTTGAACTTTCATACTGGCTCTTGATATACAAGCTGAACAATATAACATCCAGTAAAGTCTTGTTGAAATGGAAAAGCCCTAAAATGACTCACTCCCTTAAATCAATAACACACCTTGTTTCAAAACCAGTAAATAGAAGCCCAGAACATAAGGCAAAGATAAAATTACCAAAGTTTCACTGGTTTGTTGATAGAAATGTCATTTAGTTGTATTTTATGCTCTCGTAGTAAATGCTAAATGAACTGAGATAGGAAGAATTGTTGTAAGATACAGGTTAAATTCAGGTGGTACTTTCGCTATTTCTAACTGGCTTAATAGGCAGAATCATAGCAAGAGTTGGGAGAAATGGCAGATCAGTTCCTGAGATCAGATTTTCTGATTCCAATTCTCCATTTTTTGGTCTATTGTCTGTCCCTAGTGAAAGTGTAAGATCAGCACATGTGAAATATGGATTGCTTCTGCTGTTAATTTTTTAAAAAATATAACTGCCTTTTCTTCTAAAATAATGAAGCGGTTTCCTAAAGACAGATTTGACAGATGACTGTAGAAATCTGAAAAATCCATCTGTTCCAAATGATATATAAGCTTTCATACGTGTCTCAAAGTAAGATATATATGACTTTGTTATTAAAATCTAATCGTTCTTCTTACAATATTTATAATTGCACTTAATTTTTTTAAAGATTGTATCAAACTAACCTTCCTAACCTATGGATCTTTCAGATATGTGGATTTCAGTTCCTAGAATTCTTAGCAATTGTCATGCTAATTAGTAAATCAGGGGGTTGAACTCAACATATTTAAAGGACACCCAAGTTAGGAGAAGTTTCTATAACATGAAAAATAAATAGATAAATAAAATATCAAGAATTTTATCCATAGAAATAAGCAGGGCTTTTTTTCTCGGAGAAAAGGTGGCGGAACTCAAACCTGGCCACGCCCTCATCANACCCTAGGACCGCCCCTTTAGAGAACAGGAATGCAAGTAAAATTTGGGAGGGGCTATTTCCGGTGTGGGAGGGGCTATTTCCGGTGCGGCCGGCCCGGAAAAAGGTGCCGGAACGCGGTTCCGCCGCGTTCCGGCTGAAAAAAAGCCCTGGAAATAAGGATAGAAACAAAAATTAATCTATCATCAGGGCAGATATACTTTTCTTCTGTTGCTGACACTAAAAGAAGGGCCTCCCTAGTAGAATTAGGACATTTCCGGGTCTGATAGACAGAAAAACATCCTCTGATGCTATCCACTTAAGATTTTCAGAATTAAAGCTACCATTTTGAATTAGCCTGAGAGCAAACGAAAGATTTTAGCATTGGTGTAATTTCAACTGGCTATACCTGCTAACCATCTAACACAGACATTCTGACTTGGTTGATCTTCAACCAAGGTCATTTTCAAAGACATCCATAAAAACAGTATACTGTAATAATAAAGTTGAGAATAGTACTTGAGGAAGCGCTGATAATGTCAGACATCTTAACCCAAATCATATGTAGTTCAAGCTAGTCCAAACTGGTGAAAGGCACTTCTGGCCACTAATAGACAAACTGGAAAAGCACAACTCTTGCTGTTTCATAGAACTGATATCTCATCTGGTAAACACCCAATTTCAATATCTCAATTGTTTACCCCACTGAGATTCATCATCAATTTATAGATCAAAATTATTACTGAATCCATAAACTATATCTGTATCTATGCAGCTTCATCTATGTCAAAGGAAAAGAAAAAATAGAATTAAATTGCATATTGAGAACAACTTAATCTAATAAATTTATAGTTATCTCCCCTAATTAATTCTTTGGCTCCATGGCTCAGGGACTAATTTTGACAGCTTTCACTGAAATTGCAGCCACCTATGTATTAAATAATTTTTGGTAATCCAATATCTCTACTCTATAAAGGTTGGGTTATTAAGAGGAAATATAAAATACATGAAATATAGTGGCAAGGGTATTGAACTTGGAGTGGCAAGAACTGTTTTTATGGTGAATGATACTAGTTGACCTTAAGCCAGCCATCTGAATCAAAACTATTTTATAATTATAAGCTTCCAATTGGGCAATCTGCTTATATGGTTACCATCTAGTTGGAGAGTGAGGGATTAAAATGGTAATTCAAATAGACTGGAAGAATTTTTCACATTACATATTGTATCGGCAAGCATCATTTTTTAAAGAACAGATTTAATGGAAGGTGTTCTAATATTAATGATAGAAATAGCATTCTCCATCTTATTTGAAGAATGAAATGATGTTCAGACCCTCTTGAACCCCCAAACTTGTGGTTTTTAATAGTTTACCTAGGTGATTAATGATAGACCTACTGATTTTTAAACACTAAATTTGCAAACTTGGCAAAGATATCATTGGAACTAGGAAAATGCCATAGCAGTTACTAGTCTATCTTGCAGCATTGTATCTATTGTGTCTAGTGGGGTTATTTGACATGAATCCATTATCATGGCAGAACTGCAATGAATCCATTATCATGGCAGAACTGCAATCCATTATCATGGCAGAAAATGTTATAAAATTAAAAAGATCTTTTGAAAGATTTGACTCAAAATGGAAATAACCAAAAGCCACTGAGGAAACACAAATCCTGATTACTGAGTTACTTGGTTTAAATTTTAAGACAGCTAATTGGGTTTGGTTAAAGTTCACAGAGACTGAATTAGTTTATAATCCAAACATAGGTAAATGTGTTTTGTATTTGCTTTAGCTCTGAGATTTTGTATATATTTTTGTTTAATTTTATTCTTGATGCTTTGCCTTTGGTGCATATTTGCACCTTGATATTATGATAATACACACTCCAGTGCTGTGTTGTTATTCCTTCCATCGCTTTTCTTTGGCAGATCAGTTCTTTTTTCAAAGGCCATAGTAGCAGTAAAACTAAAGAAAGCATTAGTAGTAAAATGCTTGACCATCTCAGATATAAAGTGTAGATGTTGAAGATATAGATATTTGAAGAATATCAGCCCAGGGAAAAGAGGGTAAGTAGCAAAATATAACACACACTCACACACACACCGGGTTTTTTTACACTTTTGTTTAGTAACAAGCAAGATTCTGTATGGAAAATATATGGCTTGGTAACAAGCTGACTTTAGAAGAAAAGAAAAACTTTTCATTTTGAACTTAACTGAATTAGCAGCCAGAGTGGATCCTACATGTTAAATATTAAATTTAATTGATCTTTTTTCCCTCTTTTTTTGTACACTATTTTTTTCTTTTTTGTTGTTGTTAGGGTAGAATGTATGCTTTTGTTTTGTTTCATTTCATTTGTTTTTCTGTTTTGTATTTTATTTTTTATGATAAAACAAAAAATATATTAGAAAAAGAAAAAAAAGTTGTGGCACTTTCTACACTCATGTCATTATAATCAACTTGTTTTCTTTATTCTAGATACATTTTATCCTGCTGTTCAGCCGACAAGGGAAATTAAGACTTCAGAAATGGTTTATTACACTTCCTGAAAAGGAAAAGAAAAAAGTCACCCGAGAAATTGTGCAGATTATTCTGGCTCGAAATCAAAAAATGAGCAGCTTTGTTAACTGGAAAGATCTCAAGCTTGTTTACAAAAGGTATGGGAAGTTTTATAAATCAACTTTTTATATACAGCAGATCATCATCCGTATGTGATGAAAAGGGAAGAGGAATAAATGGTCTGGGCTGAAGAACAACCACATGAGTTCAGTTTCATTTTCTATAAAAAAAATATTGTTTTTGTAGAAAAAAAAGGTATACAGGAATTGTATCAATATACTGAACATAAAACTACCTTTGGGGGCTTCTGTTAGCCGAAGGAAGGGTTGGATAACATTTTCAAGTCAATGACACACCTAAACAACCAGTGTTTCTCAACATCAACAAGTTTAAAATGCATGAAATTCAATTCTGAAATTGCATTGCTGGCTGGGGAATTCTGGGAGTTGAAATTGCTGAGACTGAGAAACACTGACCTACCCAGCAACATTTTTTTCAGGGGTATGATGAAAAATACTGGTTTTCACAATCATCTGAGGACTTTCAAGTGTGACAATTTCTCTCTTGTGTACATATTTCTGCTATTATTTCATGGTTTTTAATTTGTACTTTCCTAGTAATTACTGCTGCTACGCTTGTGAGATAAAATCTCAGGGTAATCTGAGCTGCCCATGAGCAAACTCTGGGCTGCTCAAGAAAACATTTACCTTAAAGCAATCCATTTATTGGGCTAACTCAAGGTCACAAAACAGTGTGTAAACTTTCATCATGAAAGAGACGAACAAAAGGGCTACTGGAACATGAATGTTGGATTTTTTCAAAAGAGACCATTGCCCTTTCTTTTAATGAAATAAACTGTTTACATAAAAACTATATCAATATGCAAACATTTGAAATATTATTTGGGACCGATATTCATAAAGTATTAAGATGTATGAAGGTATGTTAAGAAGTAAAAAATAGGTTTGCATACCACAGACCTTAGAGAAACAGGGTGAGATTTTATGACAGATTGTTGTGCTGAATTGTAAACTTACTTCATATCAACATAACTGATATGGCACTTCTTGTTTTCATAATCACTGATAAACACTTTTCAGGGTGCTTTTAAGACAAATTATTTTATGATGTACTGAACAAGCAAAATTGAAGAAAGAACAAAACTGATCTTTAATATATACTATGGTCAGTGCTTTTTTTGTAAGAAAAAAGGTGCTGGAACTCACATCTTGTTAATTTTTTATTTAAAAAGTTATATATTCAGTTCTTAGCAGGACTAGTGGTTGAGATGTAATTAGTATTTTTTTTTTCATTTTTAAATTTGGGGGTCATACTTTTACACTAAAATTTAAAAAAGATTTTCAATTTATCAACAATTTTTTAAAATAAAGAAATTATTTACCTTTCGCACGTATCAAACACTGTACACCCCCCCCACATGTCAGTTGTGTAACGAAACATAATGGTCTCCGCCCGCAGTAAGCACTCAGCATGCGACCACATGACCAATCAAAAGCCAAGCATTACCACAAGCCGAACAGTGCCATTATTCTGGATCTTGAACTGAGTTGCCTTCCAATTCAGACCCAGATAGATAATGCGACAAAATGGATTTAAACAAATATTTAATCCGGGAATCCTTAACAGAAACTTACATTCCTGAAGATGCGTCCAGTGGAGAACATTTGTCACTGAATAACTAAACTATATTACCCATAAGCTATCTCTTAAGGAGACAGCCTGAACCCAATAAAAGCTAAACATTCTAACATACAGATCTATCTAACTGATCGGTCCAGAACAGCCATCACAACTAGCACAGATGAAGTACGCATGCATCGGACTCGACACACAAGCAGCCTGCATGCATCATTTTAATGATTTTGCTGCCGACCTGCTATGCTTGACAGGGCGATTCAAGTCCACATGGACCAAACATCAAATTTTCCAAAGTTACTTTTAAAACTTGGAAAATCCATTGAAAAAAGGTGCCAGAACTTCGTTCCAGTGCGTTCTATGACAAAAAAAAGTACTGCTAATGGTCATGTTTTTTTCTCCTCATTTTATAATTTAGATATGCTAGTTTGTATTTCTGTTGTGCAGTAGAAGAAGAAGATAATGAACTTTTGACCCTAGAAGTTGTCCATCGTTATGTAGAGCTATTGGACAGATATTTTGGCAATGTAAGCTTATTTCTTTATTATTGCTCCATAAATAGCTTTCTTTGCAACTGATAACGTGTTTAGCATAATTTTCTTTGCAAATTGTGTTTTATGGTTTGGAATAGGGGTAAAATATAATCAATTAGAGTTTATTCCACAAGCCTATATGTGGATCCAATCATGCTATTTTTTTTTCTTTAATGGAAAAAATATATGCAGGCATAGGAACACTAAGTGCTTTGGAATTATTTTAATTCTGAGATTTCTGGCAAGATAGAAATATTTTAGTGCATTATCTGTCCACTTGAATAGCTAGTTTAGTTTGTTTGCAATGTATTATGTTTTAACTATGTATTTCTAAGGTTTATTAATTATCCAGTGGGCAGGCCAGTATAACAAAAATATATGCCAGATAAAATCTATATAAATCAAGTAAAAATTAGTAGATGAACTTCTGTTTTCCTGAAGGATTATGTGTGAGCTCTTTTTCACCCAAGTTTTCATAGTGTCAGTAGGGTGGAATATGTTTGACCAATTGAGATTCATGAACCTGCCTGCCTGAAAAGAGGCTATTGTGCTTGGTTGCAATTATTTTTCATTGTCTTAAGAATAGATTCCTGCAGTGGGTAATTTCTGCAGAAATGTGAAAACTAGTTAGGAACTTCAAATAGTTCATAATACAGCTGCTAAACTTCTTGCTAGCAACAATCTACAGAAAAACCTCTAGCGAAATAGTGGTTGCTGGTTTATTTTCTAAGATAGTTCCAAGTACTAATAACCTGGCTATTGAGATTCTCCATTTTTTTATTGTTTGAAGAAGTTAAAATGTTGTGGAGAAGGTGAAGGCTAAGAGAAGACCTTTCACATATTTCCATCTTAGAAAATGGTATGGTTTATGGTATATTGCCAGTGAACTAATCATCTGTCATATAACGTTTTGGATAGCATATTGTACAGCCAATAGTTTCACACATTGCAGCATTAAGGAAGACAATGTAACTAAAGCTTCAAAGGAACACTACTTCTTATCAAGTCTATCTGGAAGTATATTGTATCCTATCTTTTTCCTTGATAAGGGCAAACTGCTCATTTACACATGTGATTATTTTGTGTACTTTAATTCTTAATGTAATGTTCATCTCTACAAACACTCAAAATAGAATAGAGAAAGTATCAGAATATTAAAGGGCTTACTCATTTAAAGCTTTCCTTTCCCCTTCAGAAATTAATTTCTGTATATACTTCCAATCCTTGCTAAAACAAATACATTGCATAATGTGTTTTCTTTTCATTTGGTTTATTATGACAATGTATTATAGTACCCATGAATGAATTTGAAGAAAGGGCAGCTTGTCTATAAAAAGGCAGAAATAATAGCCAGTGCATACCCTTTAGATGGCTTTTTATAAAACCCAGCTGTAGGATTTTATTTCTAGAAAAGTGTGAAAAGGATTGCAGTCTGTCAACAGTTAAGACATAAAATGATCTTGAAATGTCACTTAGTCTTAAATTATTTCAATTTGAACCATCGGAATACATTTAATTTTATATATCCTTAGTTGCCCGGCTGTCCTAAGAGTGCACATTTACACAGTATATATGAGGACATATTAACATATTCAGTAGCAGGATACTGACTCTAAATATTTATTTCTATAATACTTAACAGGTATGTGAACTGGATATTATTTTCAATTTTGAGAAAGCATATTTTATACTTGATGAATTTCTAATGGGCGGGGAAGTTCAAGAGACATCCAAAAAATCTGCGGTGAAAGCCATAGAAGATGGTGATATGTTACAAGAGGTAAGTCAGAAAAGAGAAGAAAACAAATCCCTCACTTTCTCTCCTTGTTTAAAAATATGATTGTCCGACTTATTGTTTAAGGCCAGTGTTTTTCAATTTAAGCAACTTTAAGATTTCAGCTCCCAGAATTTCCCAGCCAGCAATAATAATAATAATAATAATAATAATAATAATAATAATAATAATAATAATAATAATAATAATAATAATAATAATAATAATAATAATAATAATAATAATAATAATAATAATAAAGTTGGAAGGGACCTTGGAGATCATCGAGTCCAACCCCCTGCTCAGGCAGAAACACCTACACCATTTCAGAAAAATGGCTGTCCAGTCTCTTCTTAAAAACTTCCAGTGTTGGAGCATTCACCACTTCTGGAGGTTGAAGTCCACACCCCTCTTAAAGTTGCATTGGTTTAGGCCATCAATCATACTCTAACAATATTATTGGTATAAGGATATAGAAAAGCTCACTTATAATAGAAAGGATATAGCCAGGGGCTGACTGTAGAGCTGTAGTGGAATGTGATCCAGATTCCTAAGAGGGGAGGAGTTAAACTAAAGCTGAAAAAGAAAGCCAGCCAGCTTCTCTGGTATGATCTTGAATACAGTATGTACCCATCATTTTCAAGGAGAACATCAGAAATCATTTGAAATTCTATACCTCACAGATCTACCTGAACAATGGAATGAATAAAAGATGTTGTTAAATATAAATATGAGAACAGACTATCAAAGATCAGGAAACAGAAAAAGCACACTGGATGTCAAAATAAAGGTGGAAGTTGCAAAGAAGAAAAAAGAAATCAAAGACAAGGAAGACAAAGATCTCAAGGAAGAACTCAACAAAGAATTTCCAAGACATATCAGAAGGGACAAGAAACACTATTACAGCAGTAAATATGAAAACAAGAAACCCAGAAACAAGAAAACACATAGAAAAATAAGGGTAGTCTTCCAAAAGATTTCCTAACTTAGAAGGAGGTTCCAGCCTTGAATTGGCATGCTAAAACAACTACCAATGGATGGTGAGAATTAATTCAAAGAAGATTAAGCAAAGGTGGAAGCAGTATACAGTAGTGTACTATATGTGTCAACATCCAGAAGGTATCCTCTATATTTAAAAGAACCACTAATACTGGAAATTAGGCCAGTACTCAAGTCAGAAGGCTATTGGAGTTGATGAAATATCTAAAGAAATATGGCAAGCAACAGAAGAATCTATAAAGGCCAGCAAATTGGAAGAAAGACCCAGTAGCCAACAAATTGGAAAAAGTGAGTCTACATATCAATATCAAACAAAGGAGGCTTAGCAAAATGAACAAATATTCACACAATATACTTAATTATACATGCTAGAAAAATAATGCTTAGGATCATCCAACCGTTTATGGAACCGTTTATGGAAGCAGAGATGCCAGATGTTTGACTGGTTTTAGAAAAGTCCAAGGAATAGGAGAATAATTGGTGATGCTTGCTAGATAATTGAGAAAACCAAAGATTCATAAAAAAAAAAGATCTACAAGTGCTTCATTGATTATAGAAAGGCCTTCTTTTGTTTCAGTCATGTTATAGAATGTATAAAACACGCACACACAAACACAAAATTCTGTAAGATATTATGGGTGCCTAATATTCAGTTCAAATACTAAAATGTATAGCCTACTCATTAACATATCTAGTGTTTTCAAATACTTAATTTCATGGCCAGCATTAAGTAAAAAGGGATTTAAAAGAGGCAGGACTATTTTTCCCAATCTGTCCAACATGATAATTGTAATTATTATCAGCTGTATAAATTAATACTTGGACTTTGTGCCCTACTTATCCCTAATAGCATGTACCTATGATGTTATGGAAAAACAAGGTATGATTTGTGAAACAATCTTAAGTCTCATTTGTTAAGCAAATTAGCTGAATATGTAGCATAGTAAAATTAGTCTCAATGGGACATAAGCACACCATAGAGACTGGTTTGTGCACAAGTAATGCTAGAATTTTAAAAAGTATTGGGAATGACTTTATCGTGGTGGAAAATTACTAAAGACTTCCATAGAAGCATCTAAAATGAACCCAGATCAAACCAGGTCAGAACAAACAAATTTTGTTGACTAAATGCTAAATATGCTGCTAATCCATTTTTAATCCAGAGACAAGAAGATATCTTGAGATTCTCAGTGTTTCCAGAAAAGCTTAAGTTGCTATAATGCATAGAAACATAGAAAACTGACATCAGAAAGAGACCTAATGGTTCATCAAGTACACCCTTTGAGGGTTTTTTGTTTTTTGTTTAATTTATTCATTATATTTTAATTATTTTTTTTTTGTCATACATGCTGTTATCTCAAACTTGATTGTAGATTGGTAAAAGAAAACACTAGAATTATTTGATTGAAAGATTATGAATTTATTAATAAAATAATGTTTTATGTTCATTAGCTTCATGATTTCAAAACTATTTTATTTTTGTACTGAAGGTAAATAATTTTAACATTTAACATTTAACATTTTAACATAAGTAGTCTAGGCTACAAGATTAAGCTAGTGAGAAGAGAATGAGTCTATTAATAATGTGATTTTTCTTTAGTTTAGCAAATTAGTTTCAGTTATCTGCTTTTGTATAGGTTGATTGTTCTTACATTATGAATTTTATGGGTAACTTCTGATTATAACTGAGTTATTTTCTTTACTGTTCTTTGTTGCAGACAATGGAAGAATATATGAGCAAGCCTGCCTTTTAAATCAAAACTATAGAACCAGCTAAAGGGACCATGTAATATGACATAACATCTCTTAAGTGCCAGATTTTGCTTAAAATACACATTCCCCAAAGTTCTAAAAGTGATATGTTATCTATGCAACTGTCAAGATGAAGGTCAGCCACAGTGCTGTGAGTATAGCAGCACATGTATATTATACTTTCTTTGAGTTTATTTTAATTTAATATTTCTTGGCTGTCTAGATTGAAAGTTTTATGGCAAGTCTTACTATAACTTTTTATTCTAAGAAATTGATACTAGAATCTTTGAAGGATATATTTATGACTTTGGACCAGTTTCTGATCAATTCAATATAATTTTGTAAAAACAAAAATTGTTATGTGATCATTTCTTCTATATTAATAATACTTTTACAAAATGTATGGTGTTGATAGATTTAATTTTTAACTTGTTTTGACAGCAAGTGTCCTAGATTATAGATAATTTAATACATTATAGTCCTTTGTGTTGGGTAAATCAATTTTTTACAAGATTGAATACAAATTTTGCCAAGCATTCCTTAATCAGCATTTCTGCAAGCTGAAAGAGAATAATTATATCCCAATTTAGATAATTTTTTATCCTGGCTTTGAGCTTTTTCAGTGAAGCAATAAATTGAAATGGCTGAATTTCATCCTTACAGCTGAAGACCTACAAACATATAAATGTGGTTGTACAATGGCTAGAGGCTTCCTTGAGTTATTAGTCAATTTACTGCATCAAGGCCTTTTATAGATTTGGGAGGTATAGGGATTTCATCTTATTAGAGAACCCCCTTTTCTAAGGATTCCCATGGTAAAAGGTTGTCATAGAGTATAACTACCAGTCAGAACTTCCTTACATACAGCAATCTAAATAGCTGGAGTATTTCAAATACTATAATTTGATGATGGGCAGCACATAAATTTAACTAAACAAACAGTTTCTAAGAATCTCTCTCTTCAATCCTGGACAATGAAAAGTGAAAAGCAACATCCCTCAGATTATCATCATATTCTGAGGGTGAAAGCCTAGAAAATACAAAACTGAAGAAAATGATATAAAATTCTTGAAAACATACGGAGCACTTCTGTAGTCACGCAGTCATACACATGTTGTAAGAACTGTTTACTAAAACTCATTTTCAAAGGAGTCAGTCCTCTAATTCTGACAAATAACTTGTTTGGGAAAAGAAAAACATGGCAGTCCATGGCAGCTGATTTCATCATTTTAAAAACTCTCCACTTGACTAATAAAGGCACTGCCCAATTCTCATATGGTAACTTGGGAAAATATTGTGTAAAATGAAAAGAAATAAAATGATGTATTCAAGGCTTGTCAATGAAATTCCAATTGAAAGATCTATACTATAATGGTTCAGATCATAGCCATTACAATGGTGTCACAACATCACTGAGTACACCTGCTACAGTCTCCAAGCCATAAAGGTTGTCAAATCTTGTCTATGCAGAGGGGTTCCAGAGTGTTTGACACAGTGATGCTTTTTGTAGTTTGTAGAAGTTTGTAGGAAGACCTGGATAAAGTAATTTAAACAATGGATCCCTACCAATGCCATTAGCAGCATCCATTTGTTTGTCTGTTTTTCGCTCCCAGTTCATTCTGAGAGACAGAGAGAACCAGAATATTGTGCATTTATGTTTTGTCCTTCAATTGGTTTTTGGGAGAGGACAGATGAAGAGAAATCAATAACAAAAAAGAATAATAACAGAGTCAGAAGACAGTAGGGCATGGCTGCAGAATTTCTGGAAAATAACTTCACCTGCTAGCAATATTTGATTTAGTCAGCATTTCAAAGCAAACAGATTTGGTCTGCATCTATTCAACTACTTCCTGGATGAGAACACAGTGATTCCACATATTTTTCACACTGATGCTGTTAGCTAAGAAAAATGCCTCAAGTTGCACATAAAACTCTCTGTTTTAGGATTCAGTCCATTTAGAAATGTGTGCTCTCAGGCAAAATGCCTTTTAAAAGGTGTCCTTATGTATGTAGTGTGTGTTTGTGTGTGTGTGTGACATAAAATACCCTCCCCTGCAACACACAAACTTTTATAAGAATGAACATTGGTACTTATTTTTCTAAAAAAGGAAACAGAATAATGAAAAAAGGGATAGTTTGAACTGCTGACTGAACATATACAGAACTCATCAGAAGAGGAAATAGGAAGTCATCTATCATGACTATTGGCCTTCACTGATTTTCTTCTCTCTTCTCATTATTGCCCTCCCAAGTCCTTTATTTCTGCAACCTTCCTTATGGCTCTAAGAATAAGTTAGAGGTAGGATGTGGTTCCAGCGTTAATGACATTTTGTCTCTTGAAAAAATACGCATAGATAAAAAATTAATCATATCATGTACATTTTTCTATTGGGTTCACATATACACATTTATGTCTTATTGACACCAGTATCAAATATATACAGTACTCGATCATATATATGTTTGATTTAAACTTCTGCTGCATTAATTTCAAGATATATCTTGTCCAGCATTCTGTTTTCATAAGATGACTATGAAAAACTCACAAGCAGAATATGGCTATAACTTCATTTTCTCAGGGTTGGGTTGGGTTGGATTTCTCAGCAGTTATTCTTCAAGAAAAAAAATCTATTTCTTAACACTACAGGTAAAAGATGGCCAGTTGAACGATTGTCACTGATAGCTTGCCCCATGAATTTGGATAATCCTCCTTTTATAGCTAGGTAACCTGATATCTTGTTGTAACAAATGTCAGAATTTTATCTCTGCATTTTATGAAGTGCTTTTTGGGGGGGTCAATGTCACTCAATTTCATTAGCTCAATATGATTTTTCCTTTTTCTTTCTTAATATTTATATATATAGTTTCAGATTAGTCCTAAAGACACTCAAGCTCAAATTTCCATTGAGTCATGATGCATCTCACAGGATTTTCAAGATGATAAAAAAAATACTATGAAACACAATGTGTATTATTTGATTTGCTAGGTAAAGAATTGACAAGTGGCTTTATACAGTCCTAAATTTAATTTACAAAGCCCTTTGTAAGTAATTGGTTCAGAGTTCTGCAAGGATAATCTGCCCCTTTCGTGACAATCTTCTTTGTGAACAGGACAGATTGGCAACCATCAGAAAAAGGAAAAAGGTTTTAGAAGAGAAAATAGGATGCCAGATCCATCAATGGAAGATAAATAAGTGACTTTGGAGGGATTGAAAATGCCTTTCAGAGAAGCCTGGGTCACACCTTAAACCAATAGGGAACAAGGTGACGTACATTTACCCTGTTATCAGTTTTTTAACTGCCTTCTGACCCCAACTGTCAAAAATCTATTATTTCCTGATGTTTTGAGGTGGGAAATACAGTGTAGCATAAGCTTTTAAATAGCATAATATTGTTTGAAAGAGTGAAGAAATATTGCATCAAAATTTCTGCAAAACGCATTGGGAGGGAATTGCCCCTTTCCATTTTGCATCTTCATGCTACCCAGTATGACCCTTGTGCTCTCCAAAATTATGGAGTATGACTCTTGTCATCAATTATGAGATAGCTTCTTATAGTCATCAATACTAAATGGCTCATTTTAAAAACAACAGTATCCGTAACAAAAGTTAGTAGTTTCTATTTAAACAGAACTTTAAGCAGAGAGTATTGAAAAGGCATTTTTCTTGACCTTTATTCAGCAAGCAGATCCCCATATACATAATATTAGCAATTATTTTTGCATGTGTCTAAAGATTTCAAACCTTCCTAAATTTTTCAACTATCTACCAGTCTAGCTGTATGAGCTGAAACTGCTCTTTAAAATACACTGCTGTCCAGATTCTGATCCTCAGCCCGAAGGCAGTCAGCTGATATCATTGCTCTCATTGGATTCACATTCCACATTAATCCCTAATGCAGTGATGGTGAACCTTTTAGAGACTGAGTGCCCAAAACCCGCCCCCTTCCCCCACTCTGCCTCCCATCCTGCCTGCTCTGCCCCTGCCCACCCCCTCCCCCGCCCACCCACAGGACCACGCACCGCCTCCATGGCCCACCACAGCAGATCACCCAGGCAGCCCTACAGCGCCATGGCAGCCACGCCCCACGCAGCAGCATCTGCATGCTATGAGGCACGAGGACAGAGTCTTGTCCCTGCTGCCTGGCTATGTCCTTGGCTGCGCTGCTCCATGCAGACCGCGCTCCGGGGTGACTCTCCTCCAGGGGGGCTGCTGGTAAGGAAGGGGCCATGGGGGGAGGCAGGGCTGGGGCGATGGCATGCATGCCCACAGAGAGGGCTCCGAGTGCCGCCTCTGGCACGCGTGCTATAGGGTCACCACCACTGCCCTAATGGGATTGATCTGATTTTCGTTTAGGGTACTGAATGTACCAGCCACTGTGATGTATTCCGTAAAGAATGATTAAATAAACTGTGTGTGCAAATCCAGTGAAAGAAACACATCTGCCTTTATAAAATCTTTTCTGCCAATCTTTCAGTTTGAGCTACAAGATGCCCAGGCCACATTGCTGTCAGTTCTGTCTTCTCCACTATCTTTGACCTCATGTTTTGATTCCTGTGTTGAATCTTTAGCATTGACTTCCCCAACCTCTGGTCCAGTTGAACTTCTCATTTCATAATTAGACTTCATCATTAAAAAAAACAAAGCCTGAAAAGGGAAGGCAAAATGAGGCAGCCAATTCAAGTAGGAATCTTGGGTTTCTGGTAGTGCACAATTTCTCCGAACCTTTGCCTACATTTTCCAAACTATAAATAACATTCATCATTCGTGATCAACTAAGTTTCTGACATTGATTTTTGACTAAGGTTTTTTTTCCATGTAAGCTTTATATATATATAAAAAAAATCCTAGAAACAGCCTGAAGGAGAAGCTAGCAAATCTACTGGTGTGTCTTTCACTTCATGCAATTTTAAACAGATTTTTTTGCCCCAAATTTATCTGTTTACCATTTTAACTCTGGGTGGAGAGCAGTAGAAGGAGCTATGTCTTTGATTTTCAAAAACACTTTTATGTGTTGCCTTTTCTTATCCATCAGCAATTATTTGGGCAGTTCCTGTGAAAAGAGAAGATGTAGTAGCAAATTTTGTTTCCAGCAAAACACTTGCAGCAACAAATGTCTATCCTTACAGTTCACTCACTATCTACAATGTACAGGTTGCAGAATAAAGTTTCATTGTATCTTGGTGAAAAAGAAAGGTAAAAGCCTTCATGTGAAGTACTGCCTAGGGGAATTGTTATTTATTTTGTTATTTATATAAAAATGAACCTAGTTAATTATTTTGCAAAAAATAAAAATGAAATTTGAATAGAGCATTTATTTAGATGTGTATAATTTCTTTTCATGTGTGTGTGTGTGTGTGTGTGTAAAGTTTTTATTGATTTTTCAATACAATTCAACAGTGCT